AAAATCCACACCAAACAGTGACACGTTGTGGATATTTTGCCCGATATGCTATTCCATACATAACCCCTATACTGTATACTTTATGAATCAATAAAAATTTACAATTTTTAATTATAAACCTGTGTTTTCTATCAAAATTACTTCTTGTGTGAATCTTGGGACACCCTTTATCTATGTCAATGCTCTGCCAACCCCTATAGACAATTACCCTAGCTGGGTAGCAGGTCTCTTTATAGGTGAATTGGGACTCCAGTCCTACTGTCTGAGGTCCTACACCCTATTGGCATGATAAATGGACATTAACACAAATCCCCTAAGCACATATTGGCAGCTCCTAAGCTACCCTCCATCTGCAGCAGGAAATGTCACTTATATGTGTAAGTCAAAATACTTAGAATCAACACTAGGGATTATCCACTTAATAGATTTTGAGTTTTTCCTTTTGATCAATATGTATTTTTTTAAACTAAGTAGTTACTAAAAATGTTTTTCAGAAATCAATATATTTATGAAAAATGCTAATCACACTTGTTAACTTTTCGAACTCTCACAATTAACTGTGAACTGCATGCCAGTTGGGCATGACTGTATCCACTTCATTTCCATGTCAGTTGTATTCATGACGTCCAATAAAGCATTGTCAGCAAAAAAAAAAAAAGTATCAACACTAAAGGCACAATGTTCCCCAAACTTTAGAAGACAGAAAGTATCACCTTAAAGTAGAATTATAACTATTAGAAAAAACAAACACACAAACACCTTGAAGAGACTTCCTACTGCTTAAAAAAAAATGTGTTGCTGTTTTTTTTTTGTGGGTTTGGGTTTTGTTTTTTGTTTTTTGGCCCCAAATCATTTCCTATATGGACACTACTTTTTCAGCAGCTAAATAAAAACATCACCAAATCATTTTACGTAATAAAATTTAACCTTATTCTGACCTTCCACATAAAGCAAACAAACCTCTCTATCCAATAAGATCCCATCTGAACTATGTAAGGTGATAAATAATACCTTAATTGCTTTTATTTACATGACTTTGAAACTATTCTGGGCTGAAGTCACTGACTCAAGGTCACATTACAAAAAAGTAAAATGTATGTCCAGCCAGCATGGCTCAGTGGTTGAGCATCAACCTATGAACCAGGAGGTCACAGTTCGTTTCCCAGCCAGGGCATCTGCCCGGGTTGTGGGGTGTGCAGGAGGCAGCTGATCAATGATTCTCACCACTGATGTTTCTCTCTCCCCCTCCCTCTTTTTAAAATAAAAAAAATAAATAAATAATTAAAAAACAAGGAAAATGATGCAATTCACCCAGGAGGAATGATCTACTTAAGACAGTGTGGTAGCACCTTCTCCCTCCCTCATTAGGAGACACCAAATGCATAGTGCAATTAACAGGTACATCTCTATTTAAAATGTATTACATATAAACACATTAATTTTACAAATATAAATATGTACTAAGACTATATATTTAAATAAGTTTATCACATATTACGGCTTCCTTATTAACACCAATCTGCCTGAATAGAGACAAATGACAATTCTATACCCTAACAACATTTAAAATCAAAACATGAAATAGGGCAATTCTTTTTTTCCAGTGTCTCATAAAAATTGCTAACAACTAAAATTCAGGTTACGAAGCTATAAAAAATTTTAGGACAAGAACTGAAAAAACAGCATCCTAAGTACAGACAATCCCTGACTTTTGATGGTTCAACTTATCATTTTTTTCAACTTTACAATAGTGCAAAAGCTAAATGCATTCAGTAGAAACCATACACCAAATTTTGAATTTTGGTATTTTCCTGGGCTAGCTAAATGCTGTATGATACTCTCTCCCTTGTGACAATGGACAGTGGCAGTGGGCTGCAGCTCCCAGTAAGCCAGCTATCAAAGGTAAACAACTGATACTTTACAGTGTACTGTGCTGCCAGCATTTTTTGGATATTGTGTTTTGTTTTCACATCCCATCAGGTCTACAAAATGTTCATTTGTGTCTTCTGCTTCTAGTGGGAAAAGGAGGAAGGCAATGACTTTTGAGATGAAACTCAAGATAACTGCCCAACTGTAGGCTAATGGAAGTGATCTGAGCACATTAAAGGTAGGTTAGGCTAAGTTATGGTGATTAGTAGATTAGGTATTGAATGTATTTTCAACTTACGATGGGTTTTTCAGAATGTAACACCATCATAAGTTGAGGAGCATCTGTATATTAAGAGTTTTTGCTTTTTTTTTTTTTTAACCTAAATAAGCATATGTCCAACTAATTTGCTTAGAGGAGCAGAAGACTTAACATGCATGTCTCAAAGCCAATAATGCCACATTAGTAAAACTAAGGAAGCACAATAAAATGACAGAAATTAACGACCATGGATTATAAGGGACAACATATATTTTTCAAAAACCTCAGAATATATCAAAACACACACAAACAAGTTAACTCTACAAAATATTTTCCTTCAGTTTAGTAAAATTCTAACACAAACGAGGTATTATTGGCACTTGAGTTTACTGGAGAAAAGGGAAGGAAACTATAAAGAATGGAATCTAGGTTACACTAAAAATGTTTGTCATAATGGCACAAATGTAGAATGCCAATTTTTTTTGGTTTATTATAATATCACCAGGAAATTCATTTAAGAAGTATGTGTCCATTAAATTAGATAAATTTCCATTATTTATTTTACTACACAAGTACTTTTATACTACTCAAGCCAATCTTTTGCAATTTAGAAATGATTTAATGAAAGAGAAACAGTATTATAAAATTTATGCCTTTATACCTTCTCTCCCTTGGTAGAAGGGCAAGACCTTTATCGTGTAAATCTATAATGGATCCAAATCGTTTCATTTGATGCTACTCCACAAAAAACACAGGATGAATACATATTTAAGTACCATAATCCTAAATAAACTCCAATAATATGATGTTACTTTGTCTTCTCTAAATGAGAAATAAACACCTTACTTTCTCTTTATAAGTTAAGCCAATTTC